ATAAAGATATATGAGTAGATATAGATATAGATGCAGTTATGCAATATAGAGGAGTGGGCAAAAGTAGGCTTACAGCTATTTGTACAGAAAATAATACAATAATTAATAAGTAATGATATAAGAAAAAACTTTGTTTCACATTTGTGGTGCTGACAAAAGTAAATCTTCTTTTGCCCTCTCCTGTGCATGTATCTATATACATATTTTGAATCTTTCTCAGAGCCACTCACCCTCTTATTTCAATGATAATCAGTGATAGAAAAAAGTCCATTTACTCATAAATGTTAATTTGAGTATACATTATCAAATCGGTAGTATCAATTCATTCACTCATTCAAGTGCTCCAGAAGAGCGGGTCAGTTTGTCTGTGGCTCACCGCTTATCTGTTGAATTAGCTCAGGCCCACTTTGAGGTGCTGTCGTTAGTGCTGAACGTACAGCCGTGAACAGGAGTGACACAGTCGCTGGCCTCAGCGTATGTATAGTCCAGGAGGGGAGCAAGAGAACAAAGAAACAAATGCAACAATCACAAACGGTGGAAAGAGCTCAAGTGGAGAGAAACTGCAGGGGAGAAGCAGCCTACACAGGGTGATCGGGGAGACCTCCTTGAGCAAATGCCCACTGAGCAGAGACTTGAACATGAGGAGCTAGCCTAAAAAGATGTGCAAGGCACCACAGACCACGCACATCGGACACGTGCATACATGCACCACACACGCACAGACACGATACACCCGTTGCTTCAAGGGAACATTTCAGAGCTGAGGGAAGACTTTAGCATGAAGGTCCTGAGACGATAGGTTTTATTACTCAATAAAAAAAAGGTAAGGAGACACTCTATTTCCCACGACAATTTTATCTATCTACCATAACACTGGGTGATAAATATGTAAGAAGACCTTGAACTGCTACTGATACCATAGTTAATAGAAAAAGAAAAGCCTTTATTCCTGGGCCCAGCCCTCGGCTTTAAGACCATGGGCAGAGAAGTATGATACATTTTTGCTTAGGGGGAAAAAGAACTTTATGATTAAAATACCACCTAGGAAACTAACTTTATTACTGTTGATTATTCTGTATCTGAAACTATCCACGTCTATTCCCCCTTTCCCAATAAAAGGCCACTTTTATATGTGAAACTACATGTATATGTCACATTATAAATACATGGTAAGTACAGTCATATATTTAAAACACAAGTTTTTTACACAAGGTACTATCTGTAGCAGTGCTATTATAACAAAGGGTAATAAGTTAAATGTGTTCTTTTCTATTTTAAGTATTTAAAAATAATTTTATGAGTGGAAACACATGTCTACTTCGCTAGCCAATTAGCAGCTCGTTCATTGCCGCTTGCTGAGGGTCGACCAGGTGCTGGGCACTGAGGCAGAGAGCGGCAAAGCTGACAGGGAGCGGGCTCCCGCTGACCTGGGCCCGCGTGGCGAAGATGGTGCAGTGGGGCAGATGGGCATTCGACAAGTATTTACAGAGAGAAGTACTGACAGCACGTTATAAAATCACTACCTCCCTCTGAAAGTCTGGAAATGACACGTAAGGCGGGACAGCACAGATGAGTAAGAGCAGAGAAGGGGGGCGCATGTCAGGCTGCGGGGGCTGCATGTGGGAAGGCCCTGACTGGGAGGGAGCAAGGCTGGCTCCCAGCAGGAGCCAAGGGAGGAGGACAGTAGTCCCTGATGCACTAGAGAGATGGGCAGGGACCAGGTCCTGGAGGGTCCTTTAAGGCTCACTGAGGTGTCTGGGCCTCGTGTTACAGGAATCAGAAGCCCCCACCCAGCCCAGATGCGGGAAGTGACAAAGCTCTGCATGGCCCCAGGAGGACAAGTGAGAAATGAATACAGCGAGGGTCCAAGAGAGCACAATGGAGATGAAGAGGCCCATGGTCTTTTCCTGAAGCCTCAAGATCTCAACCCTGCCCCCTGACTGGGGTGGTTCAGTGGGTTGAGCATCATCCTGCAAGCTGAAGAGTCACAGGTTCGATTACCAGTCAGGGCACATGCCTGGGTTGTGTGTGGGTGAGGTTCCTGGTTGGGAGCATGCAAGAAGCAACTGATCAATGTTTCTCTCCCTTCCCCTCTCTCTCCCTTCCCCTCTAAACAAATAAAATCTTTAAAAAAAATAGTCTTCACCCCTATGAGCCATGAACAATGGGGGCATAGGGGATGTCGTGAGCACAGAGGCCTTTGGAAACCTTCCAGATCTCCACCTTTTGTGTAAAAGGCCTTTCTCAACTCTGGTTATCCTTAGCTCACATTTCAGGGCTGGCATTAAAGTGCTGAGTGAAGTTCAGTGTGGAAGGGCAAAGTTCGTCAGCGGGCGTGACCTAAGCCCACTACACACACACATGCTCTGATGCAACTGCATGCTCTGTGGGATCAGGGTCCTATCCATCTTCTCGACCAAGAGATGGATTCCCTGCATCTGGAACATAATGGGAGCTCAAAAACACTGGATGCTGTTATTCAACCTCTTTGAGCCTCAGCTTTCTCATCTGAAAAGTGGGGATAAAAATATTCATCTGGCAGGTACTGTGAGAATACACAGTATATGTCTACAGCCATACCACCCTGAAAGCACCCGATTTCGTCTGGTCTCAGAAGCTAAGCAGGGTCGGGCCTGGTTAGTACTTGGATGCGAGAATTCATAGTATATGTAAAGCACCCAGCACAATGCTTAGTATTCAGCAAATTAGTTATAAATAAGAGTAGCAATTGTTATCACTGTTATCATTTCTAGGGATGACAGTAGGGCAGCTGCTTCATGACCATTTGTGGTCACTACTGGCCACACTAAATATAGAGGTAAAGCCCAGGACCTGTTGATAGGCCAGTTATTACAGTGCAAATCAACAAAGCAGGGAGGGACTCGAGATAACAGCCCTTGACATTCACTGTGCTGCAAGTCCAAGGACACTCAGTGCGACTGAGTGGAAAGAAGGTGGAGAGTGACGCTGCATTACCAGATAGCTCTGCAGAGTGGCCCTTCACAGAGAATGCTCTTCTATCACTCCGTTCAGTGCAGGCAGCCCAGGAGGTCAAAGGGTGTGCTGAGCCTCCCCCCAGACTCACACGCTATCCAGAGAGCAGGTAGGCTAATGGACTATTTCTTTTGGACCAGAGTTTTCCAGTGTAAAAGTAATATATATGTACAGTTTAAAAAAATCAAACAGTACAATAGGATGTAAATAGAAAAGTCAGCATTCCTATCACCCTGATCCGTCAGGCAGATTCCCCAGAAATAATCACTGTTATTTCTTATACTTTTATGCATACACAAGAATATACACTTATTCTTTACACATGGGATTATTTTTAAAACTTTCCTGAAACTTGCTCCCCCCCCACACTTTAACCAAAAATATCTTTGCATATCAATATATGTAGTTTTATCTCGTTTTTAACAATTGCTCTATTGACTAAGAGCATGTAATAAGTCTCCAGATCTGGATGGCTTAACATAACTGAAATTTATTTTTCATTCACCTAGATCCAGTTGGTGGTAGGAAATGTTTGGGGAAGGCGGGAGGTGCTCTTATCCTAGCATTTATTCAGGGACCCAAGATAACCAAAGCCCTGCCAACTTCCACATGTGACTTCTGCATACTCACTGTCTTCTAAAGGCACCCTGCGTGTTGATACCCAGCTAGCAGATGGAGACAGTGTGGAGGAAGGTGGGTTTGTTTTATATGAACCAGGTCTAGAAGTGACATATATCACTTCTGCCTGCACACCACTGGCCAGAATTGACTCCCTACTTTAGACTGGTAAGGAGATGTCCCAGCTGGACAGCTGCTTCCTGCAACTCCGCACCGTGGCAGGCAAGCACAGACCTTTGACGGGCAGTTAGCTACATCTGCACAGACCCACTATGTCAACACATTCTCAGCTATTGAAGGTTTAGGAGGCTGGCTTTTCTTCTCTTTTTTCTACTTTTCTATTTGTTTCTTATCAAAGGCAATTTTTTTATCCTCACCTGAGAACATGCTTATTGATTTTAGAGACAGGAAAGGAGGCAGAAAGAGACAGAGAGAAACACCAATGTGAGAAGTAACATCCATCAGTTGCCTCTCACACACGCCCTGATCAGCAATGGAACCCACAACCTGGGCATGTGCCCTGACCGGGAATCAAACCTGCAACCTTTCAGTTTATGGAATGACGCCCATCCAATTGAGCCACACCAGCCAGGGCAAAGGCAAATTCTTAAAAGTGTGGGAAACTATTACCCGCTAAGAATGAAGAAATAAGAAATGGACACCTGTAGAGGAGGCACACTGGTTCAGACTTGGTGTGTAGGGAGGAGACACTACTGATGAAAAGCCCTGAAAAAATTCGTATTTTGACCCAGGAACACATGTGAAGACGTTTCTTAAGGAAATTGGTGGATTACTGCTCACATTGTGTGCAGGAGGATATTTTATAATAGTGACACTGTAAGGAACCTAGATATCCAATGACAGAGACCTGTTTAAATTAAGTCTATTATGGGGCACCCATAGTAGACTCTGCAGTTATTTATAATTGTGTAGATACCTGCAAAACATAAAAAATGTGTCCATATGTTATGACAAAACATAATACTCCTAAACAGTGTAAATAATTTTTTAAAACAAATTGATTTCTTGTAGCAAAAAGGTGGAGGACATATATTAAACAGTTCATGGCATTTATCCCTGAGCAGTATGACTGTGGGTGTTTTCCACTTTCCTCTTTTACACCTTTATCTAACGTCTCGTTTTATCATCAGAAAAGAAAAAGTGAAACTATTTTCAGCTTGAATCAAATTTAAAACAATGTTGATAGAGGAGATCGGGGGTTTAAGGGACGAAAAGCAAGTGTGGGAGTCAGACCTGGCTTCCGGGACCTTGCCTGCCTGCTCTGCTGGGCCTGTCACCCAACACTCAGGTTGCTATCAGAAGCACTTGTCTCTGTTGAAGTGACTGGCTTTTGTCGCACCGTCCCCAGGTTATAATGGGACGGGAGGACAGGCCTCAGAGCAGTCAGTGGCAGCCCGGCCGTTGGTGGGCTACAGCTGGCCATGCCTCCAGCCTCTGCATGGGAAACACCATCAGGGCCCTCGTGGCCTTCATTCCAGCAGAGCGCTGCCAGAACTACGTGGTCGGAGACCTCCGGGAGATGCCGCTGGACAAGATGGTGGATCTGAGTGGGACCCAGCTACGCCGCTTCCCCATGCACGTGTGCTCCTTCCGAGAGCTGGTCAAGCTCTACCTAAGCGACAACCACCTCAGCAGCCTGCCTCTGGAGCTGGGGCAGCTACAGAATCTGCAGATCCTGGCCCTGGATTTCAACAACTTCAAGGCTCTGCCCCAGGTGGTGTGTACTTTGAAACAGCTCTGCATCCTCTACCTGGGCAACAACAAACTCTGCGACCTCCCCAATGAACTGAGCCTGCTCCAGAACCTTCGGACCCTGTGGGTCGAGGCCAACCGCCTCACCCAGCTGCCAGATGTGGTCTGCGAGCTCCATCTCCTTAAGACTCTGCATGCCGGCTCTAATGCCCTGCGTCTGCTACCAGGTCAGCTCCGGCGCCTTCGGGAGCTGAGGACCATCTGGCTCTCAGGCAACCTGCTGACTGAGTTTCCCCCTGTGCTGCTTCACATGCCTTTCTTGGAGGTGATCGACGTAGACCGAAATGGCATCCGCTACTTCCCCAGCTTGGCCCACTTGCCGAGTCTGAAGCTGGTTATCTATGACCACAATCCTTGCAGGAATGCACCCAAGGTGGCCAAAGGTGTGCGGCGCGTGGGAAGATGGGCAGAGGAGACCCCAGAGCCTGATCTCAGAAAAGCCAGGCGCTACGCTCTGGCCGAGGCAAGCCGGGAGGCTCAGGCACTTGCCCTGGCTCCTGCACTTCCTTCTACCACCTCCTGAGCTTCAGTGGTAGGTCAATGCCAAGAACCCAACTCCAGCATCTCCTTGGAGACCACTCCAGCAGAGTGCAAAAGCCGTTCTGGGACATTTGGGGTATCTCTTCCGTGGGAGCTGATAATCAGATGAAACCTCTAAATCACACCAAGTAGAAAAATTTTCTGGGAAACATCTCTGCCAAAAGGAAGTCGTATGCTACAGGCAGCCTGCCAACTTCCTTGCCAGAATACCAGTCTCTCCAAGCAGGTATTTTGAAACAGCGAAGAGGAAGGGCTGGGACACGGTGGTGTCCTCCACTCTCCAAAAGTGGCTGGTCGTGAGGTTCATGAGCTCCTAAGATAAGGTATTTATAGTACTCACCTAGCTGGACTGTCTCCGGCCCTTTGCAGGATATATTGTCTTACTTTGAGTGACCACAATAGTGTGAAAATATTACTAATTCAGGCCACTTTAAAAGGATATTTGCATCTAGTAAGACTCACAGAAAGACCTTGCTTTCCCCCTGTTCAGTGAAGGCTGAAGACCCCTGATGAAGAATGCCTCTTGCTGGAGCCCATCTGCCCCTTCAAACTTGACAGTGGTTCATGCAGACTTAGCTCTTCTTCCCTAAAAGGTCTGACCCATGGTGTTCTCAACTGTTTACTGTCACTGACAATGCTAGAAGTCATCTAGAAAGCGAAATCTACGGCACTGTGGTCTCTTTAAAATCAAGTCTAGTTGTGACCTGGCTGCCTCTGTGAAGCAGAGCGCTCCTGTTCACATTAACAAGGCAGAGCTGAATTGAATCCTTCCCATGGAGGGAAACCACATTTCCAGAACCACACTGGGTTATAGGTAGTAGGTGATAAACCTGCTCACTTGAAACAAGCATGTGGAAATTTGAATTGCAGGTTGTGGAATACATAGAGAATTTCGGCCTCTCTAGCCTACTCTACCTTTGCTCTGATTTGCCTTTGCATATATATAGGGTCTTCTGATGATCAGTGAAAAAATCTAGGTGTTTTGGCCATTTTTAAACTGTGAATTGTGACTTTCTTCCCAGAACATATCAACTTTAAACTGCTGTTAGTGGGTAATTTGATGACACAATCCTTTAAAATAATTTTATTCTTTTAGAATAAAATTTTATTCTTTTAGAGGGGAAGGGAGGGAGAAAGGGAAAAATCAGTGTGCAAGAGAGACATCAATTGGTTGCCCCTCACACACCAACTGGAGACCTGGCCCACAACCCAGGCACATGTCCTAACTGGGAATCAAACCTTTGGTTCACAGACTGGCAGTCCACCCACTGCGCCTCACCACCCAGGGCTGATAACACCATCCTTTCTGTGAACCTTTTCAGCAATCAAGGACATAAAGGGTCATCTTAGCTAAAACATACTATGTTTTAACATACTATAGTTAGTTTTAAAACATTACTTTTGTCATAAAAGCATCTTAACTCAGCAAAGTTTGGTTCTCAAATGACATTACACAGCAGACTGTTTTCATATTTTTCTACCAAGTATTTCTTGCTTTTCCTCTTGCTAAACCAGAGGAAATTTCATATCACATAATCTTCCTATCACCATCCTGTCTGTAGAACATCTGCAACCTATTCATTGATTAGACTTGAATCATTACATAAGCTGTCGAACTTATTAACTCCTTCAGCAGAATACAGATTTAGAGAGTAAGATTTATAGTCTATTTTCTCATTCCTGATGACTGAAACTAAACCATACTCAACTGATGAAAACTTTCTGCCGACAAAACCACCTTCTGACCTGTACACCTCCAGCCAGTCTTGAGTGCTCAGCTTTCTTTTGACCTTACCTTCCCCTCTCCAAGGTTAATGGGCCCCTTTTTCCAGTGTTGCCACAGACCAAAGCCATGAAACACTATAGCCACATGACCTATACAGAATCCTCACCTAACAAGCTAACTGGTCTGAATCAACATCAAATCATAAACATTTTGGCACATTAGTCAAGCTGTTTTCTTCTAAAATAATCAATACACAATAAACATCTCAAACAATATGGTTAAAAATGTACCACTGATTTTGCTGTCCAAAATGACTCTGTAAATTAAGATTTACATTTCCATTACCTTCTGATGTTTTCTTGAAATTCTGACATAAGTAGAATGCAAAAAAAGAAAAAATGTTTGAAGTACCAAATATAAATTTACTTATGATTTTGCAAGTCCTGAAAGTCTATGACCCAGTGATTCCACTTCTAGGAATGTATCTGAAGAAACCTGAAACACTAATTCAGAAGACTACCTGCACCCCTGTTCATTGCAGCATTATTTACAACAGCCAAGATCTGAAAGCAGCCCAAGTGCCCATCAGTAGATGAGTGATTAAAAAAGCTATGCATTTACACAACAAAATACTACTTACTTAGCTGTAAAGAAGGAAACCTTACCTTCTGAAACGGCATGAATGGACCTGTAGACAGAAATCTGTCTGGAATACTAAGTGAAATAAGCCAGTCAGAAAAAGACAAACACCATTCAATATGTGGAATCCAATGAACAAAACAAAATAGAACTCAGATACAGAGAACAGACTGACAGCTGTCAGAGAGGAGGAGGAGGAGAAGGAGGAGGAGGAGGAGGAGGAGGAGGTGGTAGTGGTGGTGGTGGTGGTGGCGGCAGCGGCTGGGTGAAAAAGGTGAAGGGATTAAGAAAAGAAAAAACCCTCAGACAGACAACAGTGTGATTACCACAAAGAAAGGAGAGTAGGGGAGAAAGAAGAGGGTAAAGTGGGGATAAAGGGTGTTGGAAGGAGACAGGACTTGGGGTGGTAAACACACAATATACAGATGATGTATTGTAGAACTAGTTATACCTCTGAAACTTAAGTAACTTTATTAACCAATGTTACTTCAATAAAGTAATTTTTTGTAAGATTAAAGTCCTGAAACACAAAGAGTAAAACCTCTTTCAGAAGTTTGTATAGAATTTTACCTTCCATAAATAAAAGTGATGCCAGCAAAAATCAACATGGATTCTATAGAAATACAGTTTTTTTCTCTTTTGTCCTAAAATGCAACATCACTGTAATTTCACACTTAAAAAGTGGGCTTGTTAAATTTTAACTAAAAAAGCACAGTGTATTATGATGGTTAAGAGAACAGCCTTCAAATTACCCAAGTTCAAACCCCAAGTTTGCCCTTCACTACTGGTAGGTTACAGTCCGTGTACCTCAATTTTCTCATCATTAAAACGGTTAAGTTCCTACCTCTCACAATAATGTTAAGGATTAAACAAATTACTGTGTATAAAGTGCACAGAACAGTGCCTGACAGGTGGCAGTTCATGTTTACATATCATGGTATAATTCTCTCATTATTATATAATGTATTACAATACTTACATGTACCCTACCATCAGCAATTCCTTGCTTGAAAGAAAAAAAACAAACACAATGGAACAAAAAAGCTTTTTCAATAAAATTTTCAACAGTATCTGCAGTCTTGAATATGAGAAATATAACTGCAATGTCATCCAATTCTTCTGGCTTACCTAAAATCACAGACATGATTACCGAAGATTTTATTTTTAAATTTCTGAATATACTTGCCCTTTCCATTATTCTAGGATCAGCAAAATCACCAAACTACCTTAAGACCGCAGTTAACGTTGATAGGTTCTACCACTTTAAGTGAAAGGGCCCATAACAGCCAATTTTACCATAGGCTAACATAAACCAGTTAAGTTCCTATAGCATTGCATCAATGTTACAATGAAACAACACTGAAAAAAATATAAGAAACTGCTGTACTTGAAAACATGAGACTCTTCCTTGGTACTAAGCCTTTGTGTATCTTGAGGGTCATGAGGTATGAGACTAAAGACACAGGTGTCTATCTGCTAGACACTTTACTCTGGCTTTTGTCAATATAATAAAAAAAATGCATAGACCTTATAATCTCACTAGCACAGAAGGAATATTAATACTACTAAAAAACAACTAAGTTTACATGACCCCCCTAAACATAACCTACTTCTGGGGAACAGGAAGCAGGTGATATTTATCTTTGAATCCCTGGTGGCTAGCAAAATTCTACCAAGGTACCTGCACTTTGGAGATTTTATCATGCACCCAGCCCACAAGAATGGTGCTATCCTCAGGGTCTTAAATTAATCCACATAACCTGTTCAATACCCCTATGTACTGTACAGCTCACAATTTATAAATGAAAACTGTGTAGTCAGGGTTGCTTTATTCTTCATATTGAGGATCTGAAATGTTCTATAGTAATCCTAATTTTAAAAAGTCCTCTTTAGCCTTGGCTGGTGTAGCTCAATGGACTGAGCACGGGCCTGTGAAGCAAAGAACTGCCAATTCGATTCCCAGTCAGGGCACATGCCTGGGTTGCAGGCCAGGTCCCCAGTATGGGACACATGAGAGGCAATCACACACTGATGTTTCTCTTTCTCCTTCATTTCTTCTAAAATAAAATTACACTCCTGTTCTAGGGATGCTCTAATACTCCAAAGTATGAGACAAAGCAGACTTAGAATTCTGTATAAAGAACATTCTGTTGACTTATCAGTCAGGGTCCTGGCCAAAAAATTCATTCATCCCCATATGGTTTACATGGGGAGACTTTAACAAAGGATTGATTACTAGACAGGATTAAAGGGGAGGTGGAGGGAACAGTACTGAGGTAGTAATATTGACACACAGAAACAAGATCAATAGCAGCAGCTGCCTTACTCACACAGCTGAGAGTGGAACAGAAATATCACCCATATCTAGTTAAGAGCTGTGAATACCCTGCGAAGCAACAGCAATGATAGGTCTCACAAGGATGCAGCCACTTTCAGAGACAAAGAGTAAAATCTGAAAGAAAACAATTCCCCCTCCCCACATCCTGCTGGTCCCTCCTGAGTTAAACCACAGGAAGCCAGTCCACAAGGAGCTGGGAAGCAGTCAAGGCGATGCCCCATGGCACCCAAACAGGTAAAGAATGGATCCTGGCTTGAGGTGAGCTAAAAGGTGAGTAACCAGCACACACGTTCTCCTTCGAAAAACAGCAAAAAACCCTAAGTTTACTAGAATAGATTTAAAATTCCTGAGCATT